ATATTATATATATTAAAAAAATACTTAATATTATTTATAAATATATCATCGTAACATTAGACTAAATAGTTAGTACTAAAGTTACAAATATATAAATATACATAATACCAAAAGCGTTACTTACTAATATCTTCATATCCTTGTGATCCGTAGACACAGGGTCGATACTAACCTGTAAGAGAAAATTACGAATTATACATCTTTATGTAATTTTTTATGTAGATTTACATTGTGGAACATATTGAATATTGTTTATAGGAATGAAAAACACATTAAGTAATGACTAAATAACACATTGTGCCGTCTACGATAACCATTATTATGAGTACTGTATAGTACACCTACAGAGCACATAGTATTCTTGTAAAATAAAGTGTTACCGAGGCAAGGGTCAAATACCTAGCCTACCAACTTAAACACACAGTAACACCTATACATCTCAAGTGTTATCTAAAAAATATACTACGACTACTTGTACCTTAACACAAAAGAAAAATTACATATATCCATTAAACAGTCATCAAGCGCCGAGCATAAAATAAAACCAGTGTATCTACAACAAAGTTCTGGGAAGTGTAATTTAGGACGGTGTGATCCCTGCTCCTATTTCCCATAGGTGGGTACTAAAAAACAAAAACTAATTAGAAAGTCCCTAAAAAGTTAATATCATAAGTCGGACGATGTACACACGAGCGAATTTAATTTGGAACGTTTTTAATTACGGCAGGAGATTCGTTCGAAGCGGTCGGTTTGGGCGCCGCGCGGCCGCTAGCCCTGTAATTATGGGGCCCGTAATTGCGAGACCCAACAGAGTGTACCCCGCACCATACCCCCACCCCTGCACGCTAGCAAAGTGTAGTAAATAGTATTGAAATTAGAAAATCCCCTGCCATAGGATTTATAGATTCCTGTTTGAAGTGAGTGTGTAGGTAGTAGGAACCAAGACCAAAATTATTATCTATACAACTGTCTCTACAACCGCGAAGACTGTAAGCTAGAGGCAAAGTTTAGAAGACATTTATGAGTTTTAGTAATTATAACCGTATTAGCTTTTTTAAGCTATGAGAGACAGCATCTGACCATTACATATTCTATAATCTATCTTAACTTAAAATTTATGTAAGTCCGTTCAACGTTTATGCGTGAAAAGACACAAACAGACATACACACTTCTGAATTTATAATATTAATATGGATGCTTTTCTAATTTCAGTAGGTAACCTTTAAGTAAAAAACAACAATGTAGCTACTATTATAAAATGAAAATATTACATATATTTAATAATAATAATCTCAGGACTATTCACACAGCGTCATCTAGACCCAACTTAAGTTATCTAAAGCTTGTATTATAGGTACTAGATAACTGATACAAATATATAGATAGTTTTTTTTCGTAAATACATATATAATATACATAGAAAACACCCCAGACCGATACAAACAATCATACTCATGAATACAAATATTTGTGCCGTGCGAGGAATCGAACCCGCGACCATTGGACGTAAAGCGGTGTGCTAGACCGCTATACCACCGAGGTGGTCTATTTAATGACAAAAAACGAAATTATAAGGATTTTTTTTATTAAAAAACATATATACATAATCTGAGAATATTTACACATAACATTATGGACATTAAGCAATTTTCGAAGTCGATAAATAATAGGATATTTTTTTTCTTTTTGCCATATTAAAACTAATATTTGAAGTAGGTATTACAAACATTTCAATTTTATTCTACTGTTTCAAAAGATATTTTCAATTAATTATACATATACAGAAACCCTATAGAAGCAGTTGCATAGTAAATAAATTAAACATAGTAATATTATTATGATCATATTATTAACACTTTTAATACACCGTAATTACCATTTCCTAGAGTTAGGTAGTGCATTCGTCAAACCACTGCTTTCTATCAGTTCAAAAGGCTTGTATTTACTTAATCATGATGACTGGCTTATTGTGAATCGAAATGTATTTTAAGTCTACATTAAAATAATTATACATTCGATCTAAGACTTTGAATGGACTCTCTAATTAGGGTAGCTACTATTTGTTGTCGCTTTATATGGCAGTATTTATTTCATAATAATTATAACATTGTAAAGTATGAGAAAATCATATAATTCTATTTTATTGAGCTGATTGAATAGCAAACATAATACTTACAAAAGGCATATAGATAATCTAACTTCTATAAATTACATCTAAGATCGGTCAATGCAGGTCTAAGTGCAGTCAATAAACATTACGACATCAAGTAACGCCGCCGCGATAACACGTTGCCATTCCAGGGGACTAACAAGTTATGCCTCCATATCCTTGAATTTTGTAAAAATAATGCAGTAGCCTTATTTCACCCTACAACCAAAACACAGCAACAAAGCACACTGCTTGACAGTTGAAATAGGTGAAACTGAGGTAAACCACTGCAGATGTGATTTTACGAGATCTGCTTGGAGTTATCATAGATTATTGTGTTCAAATTGCGTCTATGCTTCAACCTTAACTATATTTATATCTTGAACAGCACACCTAAGTAAATAATTCTTCGAATGCCACAAATGATTTTAAATAATTTCAATTTGATAACATTTTATGTAGTGATGATTTCCAACATTGTGAGCATTTGAAATGGAAACGGAAATGTAACAATGTTCAGATGGTACTAAAGATAAATAAAAACACGACCTGAACACTGCATAAAAATACGACTGCAAGTTTTATTTTCGTTATTCTACCTTTAATTTTATATCTTTTAACATTGACATGCTCCTGTAAATACAATTCTAGAAATTGACGTATTTACCTAATATTAATTAAAACTTAATGTCATAAAGGTTTAATTACAATTCATACTAATGTTGTAAATGTTTGTATAGGAGGAAGAAGATAAGCAAGTAATATGGACAAATGAACCTATACTATATCAGGATGAACTCCACGCGGTTCTTTCTAGAAACCATTGTGATAAGTTCCTGCTGAATTCACCACGATGGGCTAATGACCTGACTCATGCTCATTTGGTCATCCGCCTCTGGTGTCACACCAGGGTAAACCGTTAGCGCTAGCGTTAGCGATATGTATCACAAGGACGGAGATGGACTATCTTTACGACGGGTAAAAGCCAGCATATAAGGAACAAACAGCTACAATAGTATTAAATATTGTAATATTAAAAGATTTGTACTTTTATAAAGGTTTACTTTTTATTCACCTAGATTGTTTTAATATTAATGCTTCTTTGCGTATTAATTTTATTCATTAGATTTCTATACCTAGATATGTATTCACAATAGAATCGATATCACTACTAATTAAATCAAATCAGTCATATCAAGTGAACATTAAAGCCCCATAAAATCAAACAACAATTAAATTAGCTTTCTATCGCATAAAAACTTGTCTTACTGTGAAGTAGCCGACGACAAAGGAAGAAAGGCAGGTCGCGTCATTGTCGGCGAGCGAGGCAGCGGGAGGTGTTCGTACCGTAATCACACCACGTAATCGCACCAATTAAATATTTTTATTCCCATTCTGCTTTGTTGTGCCGAGGTGTGCCTTTGTTGGCTCATTTTCGTGAGCGTCTTTTGTTTGTCATGCAACGTTTTTTTTTTTGCGGATATTCGATCTCATTTGGTACGTGGGATCAAACAACAGTCGGTGTGAATTCTATGTTTGTGTTCCTTTCAAGTTATGTCAAAAACGAGCAGTTTTTAAATTATATTTTATTTTTGTGTATAATATGTATCTATTATCGGATATTTTCAGAACTGATTGTAATATCTTTTTATTTATTCCATCACACGAGTGAATGATTCCTTTATAGATTCCATATTAATGTTGATTACTTCAAAGTTCCTTTTTATGATATTTTATGAGAACAAATTTCTAAATTGTAAATTAACTGAAATAATCAAAAGACTGGTACTGAGTTTTTTGCTGTGTGTGATTTCTTTGAGTATTGTACATAAAATTAAGAAAGTTACGATATCTTATCTCGTTGTATTTATTATTATTGAGTCCCCGATATTTCGGTAATGTTATAACCGCATATTACGGGTAAACTACTAAACGAGCAGCGGGTAGATGGTAAATATATAAATTATGGGCAGACATATTCGTCCACCTTCTCAAATCTTCGTTTGTTGCTACTATTATACATAGAATTACTACTATAGACCCTCGCTTGATACTCATATCGCCAAACTATATCTACTCACTATATCTTCACAAACTGCAATATTGTTTCCAATTTTGTTTAATCAACCCAACCACTGGATTACAGGTATTGACGGCATATAACCGTCTTACAGATTGAAATCTTTAACATTCCCGATTGAAATTTGTAACCCAGCTGAAATATCAGGAACTTAATAATAATAAATAAAACATGTACAAGTAACAAGTAGAGGACTTTTTTTGGGGAGGCCTTTGTTCAGCCGCGGACGTCTTCCGAGCTAAAATGATGAAGAACCCGATTTTCTTAATTTTACGCAGTAATAACCGCATCAAATTAAAAAATTTATACACCTAACTACATTTTCCGAAAATAGTTACCAGAGCTATTTACATACTGTAGCGTTCTATATAATAATCAGGTTGACTCCTAATTAGTAACTCAATTGCACAATATATTCATTTAAAATATTAGGAAACCTTTTTTATTTTATACCATACCTACCTATCAAAGGAATATATTGGTCATTGTTAACTTTTACACTTTACTATTCATTGAAAGATTTCCCTAAGCCTTTATATTATTTTTTAATGTACATATAGATTATATAAATTAAAATAATTAAAAAAAATCTAAGTAGGTAGGTGCTACGACGATAGGTATTATCTGTGATAAAGAAATCGCTATCTTGTGATTTATCTAAATGAATTAACAAATATACCGCAGTACATTTTTGACTTATTTATTTTTCAGTTACAATATGGATCATAAATAGAGATTTATAAAAATTAAATTTTGAAAATATAATTTACCTCGTTGAAATAATTATTGTTGACATTGTGCGGTGCGGGGTGCGAGCCCCCGTGCTGCTGGTAGTACGCGCAATTCATGTCAGCCCATACATCTAAGCAAACCCACTCACTAATCCTCGGCACTCGCGGTCAAAATTTTCCGAATGAAAATTCCTCGGAGCAATTATATCGTAACGAATCGATGCGGCGAACGAATCTCGCCTACTAATTGCAGGGTAGGACACGAGATGCGGCGGCCAGCGACGGCGCGAGTGCGTCCCTCTCTCCTCGCGTTCACTACCGGCGCGCGCTTGTGTTGTGAACGCGCGCCGCTAGGTGGCGCCTATGCGCGTTGTTTACTCGCGGGGCGGCGCGATGGCGCTGGGCGGACGCGTAAGGCGGGCACTTTTATGGCACACGCAGAACTAATATAGTCCGATAACGCACTTTTTACTGTAATCAAAGCAATGAACTTGATCCAAAATTCTGGGGGCATTTAAATTTACATAAAAATAAGGATAGCAACTGATTGATGGTATGGTAATATACCTAGGGCGATTAAAGAAATGTAAATAGTGATTTGATTTCGTTTGTTCTGCAACATTTAATGATGCCTTTTAACGAGAATTAAAAGGATTTCTAGTTTTGTGAGGTAGGTAATTATCATAGTTTATGTCTAATATTTTAAGAGATCACTATACAAATAAATAAAATAGACATAAATTCAATTCAATTTATATAATCAGTAGGCTACCTACTCTGAAAGATACTATCTAATATTTGGAAACTTATCATATTACAAAGCTAGGTATTTTATTACAATTAGTATCGCCCCTGGCCACCCCATCGAAAATAAGGAGTGTACTTACGTACTTTAATTTTTATATAAGTAAAATTACTTATTACCGGTTTCACAGAGAAAGTGATAACAATCAAGTCGCCATCATATCACAACGCCAGCTGGCGCTCACCCTAAGCTGTTACTGAGTACGAATTTCGTTACAAATAGGTATTTTTTCACCGCTTAATAGTAATAAATGTTTCCGGTTCGTAATAAAGAGCATTGGGATCGTTACCCCAGCGTCTATTATAAAAATTGGTCCATTTTTTACGGTTCCAATCTGTGCGGGGGCGGATACGGATCGTATGACAGGATACACTTTCCTTTACTCTTGATATCACGCAAAATCTCGTCACGTGATACCTAAACAGATGTTTAAGTGAGATTTTACATCATATCTATTATGCGTGTATATGCAGTTATATACATAGATACGAACTTATTTTTATATAGGTACTCCTATATGAAAGTATATAAATATATACTGATTTAATACTTGTTTTCATTTCTTTGTACAATTTTTCATAAAAGCTACCAGTTGCAAATAAACTGATAACAATTTATCTAGGTAATAGAAAATGAGTAATTTATTTTTTTAAGTAAACTCCTCCTATCTGGATAGGCAGGCCATATGATTTTTAGTCGGAGAATAAAAAATGTATTCACTACAATTAATGAATACTTGATTGGACTACAATTGAAGCCTATTTTTTAGTCCAGCTCAAATTCAGTCAGCCACCCTGAAAGATAGGTGCACAATTTCATAATCCGAGTTTTATTGATGCCTAGTAACTCACTATGCTACAGTGACCATACGTTCTTTATTGATAAATAATAGAAATGTAGAGAAATCAATAGGTCTATACAGATTTTACCCCTGTGCGGCACAGTAGCTTTTGCACACAGTTATTAACAATTTGTTGCCGTGTGTTGCGACAAAGCGTGTCGATGTCGCCGGCGATAGGGCGTGTTTTGTATGGAACATAGAATAACATGAGTGAAATGATAGTGATTAAAGGCGAGTAAGTACGCGAACTGGGCGCGGCGCGTGTGCGCGTAATTATTGTAATCTGCGTATGCGCACGCTGCGCCGGCGACTAACCCGCAGCGCTGCGCCTCCTCACTTACTGTTGTTCCATTGTTTCTATTAACACATTCACGAGTTTGCGTTTAGTCTTTCTTAACATTTCCTATTGTTAGTCTGGTCAACGCCTAGGTCTATTGGAGCTACATTCGTACAATAAATAAAGAAAGGTCTTATTAAGCACAACGAATTCAAGTCTTTAGATTAACCTATACATATAAGTCAGTAAACTATTTTATATGTGTATATCAATACAACAACAGTTAAAAACAATAATACGCTATAATTTTCTTGACAGCCTCGCTGCGTAATTCCTTACTCCTTTTAAGTAGGTGCCTAGACGTTAGGCATTTTCATGGTTTAAATATTCAATTTAATCTAGTAATATTAGTCGCGGTAACACGTCAAAATAATATTATTTTTTTAATTAAATTATTTTCTTTTTGTAAGTAAAATTCATGGAACATGTACGTCGCGTGCGCATATGGGATTGCCGCCCACTGCCTCCGCCCTATTCATAATATCAAATTGCAAATGAAAAATAACAAATGATATTTCTTTATATTTATAACCATTGCAATGATTTACTATTGTGAATGATTGCTAGGGAGTGCAAAAGAATCATATTTGATAGAAAATATTTTATATATAATCTACATTAGCAATATAAAATAGAGCATAGAAGAGTGTTGTTGTGTGACTTGGAAATCAAAAGGTAACAATCACATTAATTAAATAAGCATAATAATACACAAACCAAGTAGGCACTTAAACACTATCAATTACGTCGAATTTATGTTCAACAATGTAATTATATCTACCTACCTATATTTTAATTTTCCTCTATAAACTGATAATAATATACTATTACCTGGTAGAAGATTGTAAAAATAATTTTCCTAGATAGTAAAAACTGGTGTAATATGACACTTTTTCAGTAATCAATAAAAAAATATCAAGAAAAATTTTAAGTTCCTCTTGCATAAGAGGAACTTAAAATTTTTCCTTTCCTCATAATCTAAGTCAATTATTAGGATTGAACTATTAAGTATATATTTTTTAATGTAATACTGTACTTGTTTTCTTTTAATTGTCTATGGAGATAAAAAAATACATATTGTAGGGAACATATTTTTTATTATTAGAATAGGCAAACTAATTGACAGCACATTTGGTGAAAAATTTTGCGTCATCTAAGAAACCACGAGAAACCGTGTCGCATCAATATATGCACATATATACCTACTACGCCGCATATAGAGAAGAAAAATAAAATCATGTTAGGCGGCATATACCTACTCGGGAGGATCGCACAAAATACTTTTTATTAATTATTGTCAATTATGTTAATTAATACGTGAGATGAGACTTATCCACATTGCAAATGGTAAATATACATTAAAAACTGGGGATAACGTGATAAACTATTAGAACCTTATAAATTGTTCATATCAAACTCCATTCGAGTAATTTATTTATCTAAATAAAATAAGTGTTCGAATCTAGATACAATTTCTTGTCAATGAAATGTTTGTTGTTAGCAGATAAACAATCTGATATATTCGTAGTTCAGACTATATATCTATATATACGAAACACTAGAACAAAAACTGCAAAATGTATAATAAATAGTCCTACTATTCCTAGTCGTACTCAGGAATAGTGTAACTGTCACATAATCGAAGGATTATAAAAGGTGGAAAGTATTAGGGAAGGTATGTATCTAGAAATGGATAGATACAAGCTATGATATCAATAATTATATGAACAAACTAACAACTGACAACCCTTGGTCATCGTAAGGAAGGGTGTGCGGAATCCGGTTGCAATCTTACACCGACTTCCGCTGTGTATAACGGTCTACATTTACAAATCTCCAGTTCTATATTGTATGAATGTTGTTATTTTTACAGAACTTACTTGAATTGTATGCGACAAAAGTTAATACTATAAACTGGTTGAGTTTAATCATTAGGTACGTAGTATAAAACAAAGTCGCAGTCGCTGTATGTCCGTCCCTATGTATGCTTAATTTTTAAAACAACAAAAAAAACTAATTGAAAATCCTATGCATATAAGTATATGCATAGGATTTTGCAGTTTTTTTTTAATAGAAAGAGTGATGATTCAAGAGGAAGGTTTATATATATAATACATGTATACCCATGCTATGCCGGGGCGAGTAGTACGTACTACTAATAAAATATAAATACCTACAAGTTTCAAGTTTTATAACATTAAAAACATTTAAGTATCTACATATATCGAATTATTTTAACGAAAAAAAGAGAAAATTTTCATAATTATTAAATATGTATATATACTGGTTGTCTATTATTTAAATGTTGTTAAAACTTATTTTATTTCCACCAACTTGAAAAAAGAAGGTCTCTGGTCGTTTATACGCATATATTTTTTGTGTGTTTCTAATTTTTTTCTTCATTAAGTTATTTAGATTTTTTTTATTTGTAAGCTGGTGCTTCTCACTCAAATTTAATCATGATCTGACTAGTACTTTTTTAGTTATCTTTCATAATGCAATTAGTCGGTTTTTTCGAGGCTGACATTCGGTATTATCTTTTTGATATTCATATCTAAGGGACATAGATAGGTCTATTTTAGATCGAAATTTCCACTTAGGTACTTACCTATTACGACCAAACTGACTAAATTTTATGTCAATAGATGCTAAATTGCCTGCATTGATTACAGCAGAAATAAAAGAGTGAGTTTTATTATTAGGACGATTAGGATCACTATGTTGGTACTATCTATCCAGTGTAAGTCATAAAAACACTGTCATTGTATAACTGTAACGAATATTATGAACCTTCTGCTATTTCACACAATACCATAGATAATCTATAATATAGATACCCAAAATATTGTCCAAACTGTTACACGTGTGATTTTAAAGACGTATTGTCACCACACTCAGCTCCATTCATGTCGAGGTTTCAATGAATGTTCCCCGTTTCCTATGCAAAATCGTTTAATCCCGGAATAAAGGCTTCCATTTGAATGTTTCCGCTGGGAACACGGATCACAATGAGATGTTCACTTGACGGGATCATTTAGATGTCAGTACTCGACTCTGTTTACAAGCATAATAGGATTAAATATGAAATGTGAATTGTATTTTGTAGCATTTACTTGTAAGTACCTACAAGCTTTGCAGATTTTATTTTTGATATGAGAGTTATGAAGTATCTACTCACTTGTGTGAATAAAACGGAATTTGAATTATTAACATTATATTTATTCTCAGTGTTATGAACAAATCTGATGGCGAATCGTTTCTATAATACATATAGAATAACTTTACTATGTCGAATAGATGTAAATATCAGT